TTAGCAGTCAAGTACTTTAACCATTTTTGGAAAGGGCATACTAAGCCCCTTTTGGTGAGAAAATTCACCTCTTAGAGGACAAGATAAAAGCTGAACTGTAATATGTATGTCATAATGCTCCCTAAAAAGAACCCCCCAGGAAACATAAGCTCAGGCCTCTAGTGACTAATAGTTTGTACATACAGATAACTTTCTCAAGACTTTTTTTTAACGGAGAATTGTAAAGTTATAAGGAAATTCTTCATTGTCATAAGAACAGAGATTATTTCCCAATGGCTAGTTCACAATAGCAATATCAATTGTAACACCTTCTTCTGGAATGAATGTCGCTTGTCAACAGTCAGGTCACCAACGTGTACTGATTTTTCACTGCTATCTCCTCACTCTCCTCCCCATTATTCTTCCTCAAAGATACTTTGTCCCCTGGATTACCAAAGTAAAAGATGTTATGTATCGTCTGTTTCCGCTTCTTACAACCTGGATATTATTTTATTCTAAAGGAAGTTCAAGGTTAATTAGAGGAATGAAGGGTCTGGAGGAATCACAGCGTTGAAACCCTTGGATAACTATTGCCGAGGAGTGGATATAGTGGTGGCTATGTTGCAGACACACGCATGAACACAGGCACACACACACACACAGTGGGACCATTTAGTGAAGAGCATACTTGTTAGGTGCCTTTGAGTCAGTTCCAATTCATAGAGACACTGTGTACAACAGAACAAAACACTGCGCATTCCTGCACCATCCTCACAATCCTTGTTATGCTCAAGCCCATTGTTGCAGCCACTGTGTCAATCCATCTCATTGAGGGTCTTCCTCTTTTTCGCTGACCCTCTACTTTACCAAGCCTGGTGTCCTTCTCCAGGGACTGAACCCTCCTGATAATATGTCCGAAGTACATGAGACAAAGTCTCACCATCCTTGCTTCTAAGGCACATTCTGGTTGTACTTCTTCTAAGACAGATCTGTTTGTTCTTCTTGCAGTCCACGGTATGTTCAATATTCTTCACCAACACAATTCAAAGACATCAGTTCTTTGGTCTTCCTTATGCATCATCCAGCTTTCACATGCATATGAGGTGATTGAAAATACCATGGCTTGGGTCAGGCGCACCTTACTCCTCAAAGTGATGTCTTTGATTTTTAACACTTTGAAGAGGTTTTTGCAGCATATTTGCCCAATGAAATGCGTCTTTTGGTTTCTTGACTGCTGCCTCCATGGGTGTTGATTGTGGATCCAAGTAAAATGAAATCCTTAACAACGTCAATCTTTTCTCTGTTTATCATGATGTTGCTTATTGGTCCAGTCGTGAGGATTTTTGTTTTCTTTATGTTGAGGTATAATCCATACTGAAGGCTGTGGTCTTTGATCTTCATCAGTAAGTACTTCAAGTCTGCTTCACTTTCAGCAAGCAAGGTTGTGTCATCTGCATAACACAGGTGGTTAATGTGTCTTCCTCCAATCCTGATGCCATGTTCTTCTTCATATAGTCCAGCTTCTCAGATTATTTGCTCAGCATACAGATTGAATAGGTATGGTGAAAGGATACAGCCCTGATGCACACCTTTCCTGAC